TTAAACTCGCTTACTGGTTGCCCAGTTGGCTGGCACCTGAATGGTATTTTAAAGGCAATTATCAACATATTACAGGCCCAATTAAGCATGCCACATTGTATGAAAATGAGATGGAATAAATACTTTCCATACAAATACACGTATTATTGGACACATATATGTATAATATTGTAATGTATGTTTATGTCATTAGTTGCATTTTTTTGTAAACGAGCGACAAAAGAACGCCCAACTCGGGTAAAATTTCCTTTAAGGTACTTAAGCAATCCTGTTAGTATGTGGCAAGTAAAATCTGATTGGTTTAACGGAATTTAGCTAGAAAAACCAATGGAAATGAGTAACTATATTTAAAATATAAATCATGTATATAATGAGACAAAAACCTCCCTCTCCACTTTCCCATTAACAACCCACAATAGAGCAGTTTTTCACTTAACAACCCTAAGTACTCTTCAGGTCGCTTATTTTTAACCGACCTGGCTGAACTCGGATAAATTGCCGAGTTTTTGTTGTTGCTCTGCATGTATTACGTCATTTAAGCGAGTGTTTTTTTGTAGCTCGGTTGCAAAAGAATGCACCTATTGTTTAAATTATGAAAGCACCGCATTGTGGCAACCACAGCTGCTCTTGTCTGCGGGCGTAACTTTTAATGTCACACGATGCAAGTAAATTTCTTTAATACATATTCATAGTTTGTTTTACTACCATTCTATTAATAATTCGGTTTTTGTTTGTCTGCACGTAAATGTGGAGAAAAGAAGGCTTAAATCACAATAGAAACTTCTGCCACTTTTTGTTATTTACACACACATACATATATGCTTTACAAATACATGATATAACGGGTGATTTTTTAAGAGCTTGATAACTTTTTTTTAAAAAAAAACGCATAAAATTTGCAAAATCTCATCGGTTCTTTATTTGAAACGTTAGATTGGTCCATGACATTTACTTTTTGAAGATAATTTCATTTAAATGTTGACCGCGGCTGCGTCTTAGGTGGTCCATTCGGAAAGTCCAATTTTGGGCAACTTTTTCGAGCATTTCGGCCGGAATAGCCCGAATTTCTTCGGAAATGTTGTCTTCCAAAGCTGGAATAGTTGCTGGCTTATTTCTGTAGACTTTAGACTTGACGTAGCCCCACAAAAAATAGTCTAAAGGCGTCAAATCGCATGATCTTGGTGGCCAACTTACCGGTCCATTTCTTGAGATGAATTGTTCTCCGAAGTTTTCCCTCAAAATGGCCATAGAATCGCGAGCTGTGTGGCATGTAGCGCCATCTTGTTGAAACCACATGTCAACCAAGTTCAGTTCTTCCATTTTTGGCAACAAAAAGTTTGTTAGCATCGAACGATAGCGATCGCCATTCACCGTAACGTTGCGTCCAACAGCATCTTTGAAAAAATACGGTCCAATGATTCCACCAGCGTACAAACCACACCAAACAGTGCATTTTTCGGGATGCATGGGCAGTTCTTGAACGGCTTCTGGTTGCTCTTCACTCCAAATGCGGCAATTTTGCTTATTTACGAAGCCATTCAACCAGAAATGAGCCTCATCGCTGAACAAAATTTGTTTGCGAAACACATTTCGAACCGAACACTGATTTTGGTAATAAAATTCAATGATTTGCAAGCGTTGCTCGTTAGTAAGTCTATTCATGATGAAATTTCAAAGCATACTGAGCATCTTTCTCTTTGACACCATGTCTGAAATCCCACGTGATCTGTCAAATACTAATGCATGAAAATCCTAACCTCAAAAAAATCACCCGTTACATGCAGATATGTTTCATATTTATCCATTGTTACGCTATGCGAGCGCATAAATAAATAATATCGATATGAAATTACCAATTCATAAAACGTTCCGTTGCATTTTTGCTTGCCAAGTATTTGCTCGCATTTGGTAATTTGTTGTGTTTGGCCAAGTAGAATAACAAAACAATAAATCTTCATTAACACACAAATACGCCCAAATCAATATCGCAGAAAAAGAGCTGCTTTTGCCTAAACACGTTCCACAGAATTAAGTTCATTAATCACATACTTACGAACATTATATGTACATATGTAACCTACGATGAAAACGAAAAGCCATATATAATCAATTCAGTAATTATGTATATATTTGCAAAACTGTTTTTACTACTTATTTGTAGTCGTTACTCGTTTCGGTTGCATACACACATACATAGGTCTAAAATTATTACACTTGATAGCAGAACAAGCAACAGCATGTAAAATGAAGATTAACAAATTTTTTGAAATATTTCATTGTGATTTATAAACCACACTACTCTACTTAGAGACTTTTACGTTGGTGGTATTAAGTTTTTGCCTGAGAACACCCGCAGTAAAATTTTCCAAAGCATAATTTTCTAGAATGTATCAATGTAGAATATATATATTTTCTAGAAAATATTTCCCATAAAATTTAACTATAACTATAACTATATTATATTTCATAAACTTTAATTTTGCCATTTTTGTAACTTTTTGAAAACTACTTAGAAATGTATATGAAAACTTTAGTAGGCCATAAAACAGCTACGAGCTAAATTTTGCAAATCCATCGAGTGTTTTATTACTGGATATGTATACTTTTTTGTTTAAGTGAAATCTAGCTCTTTTAACTAAAACGTTCAATATGAATGAATATAAAAAAAAAATATTAAAACAAACTTTTATTTAATATGTGCACCAAAAAAATGAAATAAATCAAGGTTTCTGAACTCTAAATGGTAAGTATAATCACCGAAATGAACATATTTCGGTACATATGTACTTATCATTAGCTCTTAGTAACCTTTATAAAGGCCTTGACTTATTTTATTAATATTTTATTATTTTTTACATTATTTTGTTCGGCTTCAGCCTAATTCTGTATCGGTGACAACATTTTTTTACTGACAAATTTAAATTTTTTTTCCTAATAAAAACTGTGAAAAGTATTTGTCACTGATAGAGAATGGAACCGTTATTATATGCGCAACTTAATAAATAAAATTTATTTTTGAAGAGACCGTCCAAACTAATCCAGTCTCCTTTGGCGCAATTTTAAAATTTTATATCTACCCAACCACATACAAAAAAATTAGCTTCAGATTAAAAAAATAAAAAATTAGAGCAATTTACTTTGCCACATTTAAGAATTATGCACATTGCAAAGAATTATAGAAAATGTGAGCATTTACCTAAAGCCACTTTTCTGCTTAAAAGTGAAATGAGAATGAAAACCTTCCAACAAAGAATGGCACACAGTGACACTGAGCAGCATTAACGCGCGGAGGCAGTGAGTCAGAAGCGCAAAAGCAATGTAAAAGCGCATAAAGCCCATTGTTCCCATTTTCATGGCCACAAGCTTGATTGTTGTGAGCTGCCACAATCATAAACAAGGACAAGAAAAGAATTTCGTTAAGTTGTAGAATTGCGCTTGCATGCGAAGAAATACATTAAAAAATAAAGTAATACAAAAATATTTGTTCACAGTAGTAACTCGTATGTAAAGAAGATGGTTTAGATGCCACAGGCAGCTACCTTGAAAAGACGTACCTTTGCTTCTACTTAATAGGTGGAACCACAATCTTCGAGTTGTAATCTCCGTTTTTCAAACGGCATAAACTGCAGTTAAGGCTAGGTGGAAATCAACTATTAGAGCGAATTGCAGATAAAAAAATTTAAATGGCACTTAACCCTCCAACGCATACGAAGCCAAATAGGGTGTCACTAATATGGCAATTCTTTCCCACCTAACGAGTGGTTTAAAAATATATTTACCTAATTAAATGCATTTGCAAATGTAACCACGAATAACGGGATGTAATTGGTTTGCTTATGGTTACATAACATTTAAATATAACCTCAATTTTGTGTGAACGTCTATTCATGTGCGCGGAACTCAACTGCAAAAAAAGAAAAACTAATGAAAAACAGAAGAGTTGTTCTTGTAAAACAAAAAATATTTTCTTAATTCACACATTCTCATCTGTGTCAAACAATAAATGGTTTACCACTACCCAAATGTTTTCTATTGTTTTCATACAATTTTCCATTTGTTTCTTTGCAAAATAAAATGTTAAATAAAGACGAGGAGTCGTTTTTCTTTCGACATAGGTTTTATGATACGTAAATAGCGTGCTTTTCATAGTTAAAATTTTTTTATTCATCTCCATCATAATTCATGCAGTAGAGGGTTAAGCTGAATTTTGGATTTTTATTTAAATCCCATTTAACTTCTGTAGATTTTCAGATCACTTGCCTTTAAATATGCCAAACAAGTGGCACCACTGTTGCTCTTTCATTGAAATTGTTGCTGCATGTGTTGGTTTGTTTACCTTTTTATACTGAACAGCTGATTGTTGCTTGACGTAAACACAGGGTTGCATAACAAGTATTAAAATGGCCAATATTGGTCATTTGAATACAGTTTAAATATTTGATCTGAAAATGAATTTTTGCCGTTAATAAACAATCTCTACTTAAATAGCTCATCTGAAATTGGGTCTTAAAATATGATATATCGTCGACGATTTTGTCTGGAGGACAAAATTTTTTGTTCCAAAATGCATTGACCCGTTCTAGTACTTACCCATCAGATATAATTTCCTACCAGCTAAAGTCGGTACACTAAATCTCACCAAAAATCATTGAACCTTTGCAAATTTTTGAAAACTTTTATTGCTGCCACAAAAAAAGGAAAAAGCCACCTGTATGTCCGGCAAAAAAAAAAATGTTTTTTTTTTCTGAAAATGCCTTGTAAAAATACTCTTAACTGAGGGGTGTACGATGAATTCTTTTTTTGTTTATTTGTAATGTAAGACGGTTTAATATACATACTTACATATTTAAAATCAGCAAAAAGCACAAAAATAGGTGGTTGTTACCGAAGTCACACAGAATCGCAAAAACCACAACAATAATACGTTACTATTACAATAAACAAATTTGAATTTCTAATTAGTTTTAAGAATACCCGCACTAATGGCTTTTGGTACGCACCTTTTTAAATTTACGGCAGAGGTAATTTCACTGCAACAATCTATGCTGTTATCGTAGCGGATATTTCTGCCTTGATGATGTCGAGTTGAGGTCGAAACCGCTGGCTTCGGATGCGGAAAGCTACCTACGAGCTGCTCTTGGGAGTACGTTTGGTGTTTTAATCAAAACCTGTACGTGCGATTTTGTAATTGTATATGTTTCCGTTGCTGCTAATTTGCGCCGAATTTTTCGCGCTTTCCCTTTTTTCGTTTTTTTTTTCAATTTTTATTCCCTGCAAATGGAGATAGGGTTTCGTATTGTTGCTATCGCGTTTTTATCAGCGCATTCGGCAAATTACACTGGAAATCAAATCAAAAACAAAGCAAGCGAAGTCAAAGCCAAAATACGGTCGAAAGCCTGAGGAAATTAGCTCGCTGAAGTTCGAGAAACACACTCAGCTACAGCTAAGCAGCGGCTCCAATTCAGCCCACCGGCATTTCATTTTGACTCACGGAAATATTATGTAAATAATTTCCGGCTAAAATTTTAAATAGTTTTCTCTCGGCTGCACAATTTTAATTTCGTTTTTTTTGCTATTTATCTTCACTGTCTGCCTCTACTTCGCTTCCGATTAAATTTCAAACTATATTCCCACTTTCCACGATGTTGCCGACAAGTAGCGAACCACCACGTTCAAGCCCACGTCCTAAACTGAATCGAATTGCCACTGCGGCTGAGCTAAAAACTCAAAATGACGACCAAAGCAGCTGCAGCAGCGAATCGAGGCGAGGCGAGGGAAGGATAAAAATGTGTGACAGATGCAGAGGCTTGGATGAAGCTGAAGCCTATGCTTATGCTTGTACTGCACCCTGGGGTACGCAGCGTTTGTCCACGTGGTCACTGGCGCAATCAGCGTCGCCGCTGCGTTAACATTTGCCGGGACTGTTGGCTTGTTTGGCTCTCTGTTTTTCTATATTGCCAACTCAACTATAACTACAATGCTGTAAGAAAGTATGTAACAGCAGTCGCTCTGTAATTGAATGGCACATTGTTGCCCACTTCTGGGCGTTTAAACGTATCTACGCGTTATGCTGCCGAAAGTAGGCAGTGCGAGCGCTTCAGTGAGCGTTGTGTAGGTAAAGTGATAAAATGAAAATAATAAACAGAGAGCGCGTGCATATTCGTATACTCGTTCGGAAAACTGTGGCAACACCGCCGGAGAATGTACTAAAATTTTCCATCATTGAATATGCTCATTTTCTCTGCCAGCTATTTTTAGCCCGGGCACGTGGTATGCCACACCGGTTACGTGCCTCTTTTACAAAGTCACCAAGTGTAAACAAACAAACAGAGAGTCGTGAATTCGACCACCAAGCCACGTGCTTGCACTATAACTGAGAAAGAGGCTGTGTATGTAAACAAACGCTAGCGAAGAGAGAATTTTCTTTATTTTCGAATGTTATAACAAATCTTATGTTGGTACAGCTCCAAGCACTTTGTGGATGAAGATATATAGTTGATATTAATAGCTGCGACGATGCGTTGAGTTAGCAATTAAAACAAAAATTAAAATTTTGTTTAGTTTAAATTGTACTCTGAATTCGAGGCTGAACTAGAAGGCTGTTGTGAATGGCTGTTAGAAAAAGTTGAAACGTTTTGTGGGATACAAAGGTGCAGTAATGGATGGTATGCTGGCTTCCGGACCCCGGAGTTTTCGGAGTTTTTGTAGAATTATTCTGGCATGGCAACCCTTTGTCAGATATGAATCTGCGTAGTTCTGATTACGTGCACTCACTTCTAGAGGGAATTCTTGTGTGATAGTAATTCCCCAAAGCAACACTTAATCTTTGAACCTTGTGTCACTAAACTTTTTCAAATAACCTAGTCAAATTATATTGCAGCTCGAGCGTAGCTGTCCATCTTGGTCTTCAGTTGAAAAGTTTGGCAAGGTCTTTAAGGTATTGATTTAAAACTCATTAAAAAATGAAGCTATTTTAAAAATAGGGAACAATATTCTTTTGTGACGCATTCCCAACTATAAACTATTCGCAGGCGTGCCTCGAAGTTTTCTGCATTCCTCCGATTTCCAGATGAACTTCATCTTTTTGTTCTTTCGGAGGGCGAGTGAGGTATTTAAATACCAAAAAAAAAGTTACGGGGACTTAAATCAGGGAATCGAGGGTATTTAACTGCTTCGAAATAATCGAAAAAATTGCAATATTAAGCCCCGTTGCTCACCAGTCCACGGCATGTTGGCTATTGAAAACTTTGTAGTTCACCTAGCAAGCCAACCGTTACAACTGTTATATAAAAAATTGCTCTTTTACAATTATTTTTTGACTTTCGTTTAATTACTCCTTAAATAAAATTTTTTCTGAATTTTATATTATAAATCAAAAATAACAATTATTTTTGATATTTATCTAAATAGTCTGTAAATAACAGTTATTTTTGATTCTTATATTATATACCTTGGGTAACAGTTGTTGAAAACTCTTATTTATAAAAGACTTTTATTTTTAAAATCATACTTATAAAAGTCATTTGTGTAAGTCGTAGTAAACTTTTATTCTCCAACACCTTCCCGACAAGTTTTCAATAACTGTTATCTAAGACATAAAATAAAAATCAAAAATAACTGTTATTTACAGATTATTTAGATAAAAATTAAAAGGAATTGATATTTTGGATTTATAAAATAAAAATTAAAAATAATTGTTATTTTTTTAATTTTGTATAAAAATGACAAATAAAAATTTATTTTCAAACTTGAATCTCGGTGAAAAAAAAATCTATTGGTACGTATTACTTAAGTAGTTGTAGAAGATTTCTTCATAGTGAATTTTTCAATGACATTTTTCATCAATAACTGTTATGTTCGGTCCCTGCTAAAATGTGCACTTCCATTATAGCACACAAAATCTGACGTAATAAAAATATGTACATATAAACATATACACATACATACATCTGTGTTTGTTTGTTTGACTTAAGAAAAGTCTTTTTTCGACCTAAATACGGTTAGCTATGAATCCACACATTTTCTTTCATCTTTTCTTAATAATATCCAAAATTTAATTAACTCATTTTATTGTTTCGCGCAAATATGTACTACATGTAAGCCAAAAGTTACTAAATGTAAATAAAAAACTAATATGTATGGAAATAGAAATAGAAATTTCGCTTTCATTTCAATTCTCTATGTTTGCATAAAGAACAAAGATTTTGTCACTGAGATAGGAAATGAAAGTGGGATTTAAATGAGGACACTCGTGCTTTATGTTTACATAAATAGATACATATATGCCACTGTATGCATACACATACACACATATGTACATATGTATGTCTGCTTGTACGAATATTTATTTTGTGTGCTTTTAAAATGAGACTTGAAAACATTGCAAATTTCCGCCCGCACTCTTAAACTTATTTGTGTATGAATTTGACTTGTAATTGTTTTTTATACAAATGAAAAGAATTTAAATGAGAATATTAACCCACACATGACTAAAACTGTACAAATACACACATAAGTATGTATAAACACAAATACTTGATGTCAAATAATTTGTCCGTGGAATAAATCAGTGAGATTCAAGGTTTCATGTTTCACTCCGCTGCTTTCATTTTAATTACATTTACTTTCAAAAGATTTAATTAGCTACTTTGCAATTTCTTTGTTTTGTATTTCCCTTTTTTTATTGCAGTGCTAATATGGCTGAGCATAGAGGGTTAGTTGTAGACCGCCTCTGCGGAATGAGTATTTATAGCCATGTTTACGAATTTTTTTCGTTTGCTAACCACGTCTGAATGTAATTAGGAAATTAGGGAACTGAATTTTGCAAACCAGATAAAACCGAAGTTTAGCTATATCTGTAAAACTTTTCTAATAAAAGTAATATATTGGCGCTTACGATGTTGTCACACAAAGGGGAGGGACCTACAGTTTTACGCCTTCTCCGAACGGCGATTCTATTTTTATGAGTGCCGTTTTTCATGGCAGAAATGCCTATCGAGGGGCGACAGCTATGAGAAAAAAAAACTGTTTTTTATTCTTTATTTTTTTGGCATTGGGTTGAACCGGTTTTGAACCCAGACCCCGCGGAGTGGTAGCGCACACTGCTAACCACTACACTAAAGTGGCCTTTCATTAAACTTGATTCCATATTCGGATCAGGGGGAAATTTTGCATATGAAATGATGGTCAATTGGCTAAGATCAGAATTACATTAACCTAGTGTCATAAAATTAAAAAACAATTAATAAAATTTAGGTATTTTATTTTTTCCTCCGCAAAAAAATAGTAAACACTATTTACTGTATTTCATAAGAAACTTAATCAGCTTTCTATCCGAAAATTTTCCGAAGAAAAACACGAAATTGGACAAAAAGAATTACCACGACAAGGCTCAAGTAATCCTAAAATGTCAGAAAATCAGCTGCTGAGTTAGTTGCCATAGCAGCTACTACTATCGTTGACCTAGAGCCGTTATTATACATACGAGAGCGATTCCTGCCATTTTAGCCTTTATTCTTTTGCCAAAGTTTAAAGGTCATTTGCTTCCAGTCTGTCGATTTATATGCGGTGCATGGCATAAGGTTTGGTTCTCTGACCACCGTTTTCATGAACACGATTTTGCAATCATGGAAAAATCTGTCCTTCAGTTAGTGTTTCCTGCGGGAGATCTTTTTTTGACAATTTGTTACAAAAACATTATTTTTGTTGTTGTTTCTTTCACGATTTCTAATCATCGAGTAATAGGTAGAAATTTTCGCAAAAAAAGTCAAATGCTTAGTGTACATACGTACATAAGTATATAGAAAAATTTCTCATTTAAATTAATAAATAAGATTCAGTCATTTAAAAAGCTATACTTAAAATTTTCCTACTACTTCGGTAAAATGCGAATTTGAGATATCTGATTGCTGGTAAAACATTCTACCTACATATGTACATATGCAAATGGTAAAAACAAGTTTGGAACAGAGCTCATAACACATTTCTACATTGCTGCCCTTATTTTTGGCTCTTCATTTTTTCTTCCTTTTTTCCGCAGCTACTTATTTATAATTCCATACCTCCGTGGTTAAACGCAATTAAATAAAGGGCGCTTTGGCTCAGAGGACTTGTTTTGCTGAAATGGTCAAACAAAATATTTACATCTCGTGCATGCACATGGAAGTACATGTGTAAGTGTATATACATACATACATTTGTAGGTACGTGCAAATACATACATTTGTACTTACATAAATACATATTTATTTAGCTGTACTTGCTAGATGCTTCTTCTTTGTGGCAGCTAACTCACCACAGACGCTTGCTTGCCTTCGCTTTCTTTCCCAAAGGAATTTCGCTCGCTTACTTAAGAATAAAACTTTTTAAAATCAGAGTGACAACTGAGGATAGCTGCCTGTTGGCTGCCGGCTTGAATAGTTTGCGCTAGGTTGGCAAGCAAGACTGCGGATAAACGCTGCATTGCTTTTTAAGTGTCCGCACGGTTCCACATCCAGTGGCATCGAAGTGGAAAAAGTGAAAGTGAAGGTAATGCCGGTTATGCTAAGTGCGCCAACCAGTGGGAAAACACAGGGTAGGCGCTTGGCAAATAACACATCGTTTGGAGAAATGAAATCCATAACCACACAGCTTCCACAGCAGCAGCCAAAGAAGGAACAATTTCCGTTTGCAGCACGCAACTAAGCAATTGAAGGCCATTTCCTGTGGAGCAAACGTGCTGGCTTA